TACACTTATCAAATTACGACACTCGGAGCTAAGGTGGCCTGATCAACTCATGAGTCAATAAATTCAGAAAAATAACTTACTTCGCTGAGTCTAGTGTTCTTTTAGAAGGACTTTATGTAGCGATCTTCAGTCATACAAAACGCAGTTGGCGTACGCGCATGAGACTCTAGCCCATAATAGTTATAGCAAACTCTGACCTACGCTGAACGTAACGCCCGCGCCTAAAGAGGGCGGTATACTGTTAAAAGTGAAAGGGCGTCCAGCACATTTCTACTTAAGACAGTCATGGCTTTCCATAATTGATTATTAGCAATAAAATGTGACACTACAAATCCCCCATTCATAAGACTTTAGAGCAATTTTGTGCGAGATCATTGTACGACAATGAAAAGCAGAACCAGTTTGGTAGCCGAACATTTGCGCATGTGCAAACTTGTAAACAAATACCTGACAGATCACGTTGTCGGGCAATTCCCTTTTATTCATTGACGCTGCAGGTCGGCATTCCTTCAACGCCGATCTGACGCATATCGCGCAAGGCGTGCCGGGAGTTTGTTCGAAAGTTTGAACGTTTCGAAGTCAATCGTCGATTGGCACGTATTTTGCGGATATATTAATTTCGTTTCAGGGGTCTATTTACTGAAATAATGATAAATGAAACTTAGAAATATTGTAAGGACAAACTGGGCCCAAATTGCGCAAATTTGCAATGAGTTCACGGATGCTAGTGTCTGGTTTGGAAGGAGTTCAAACGTGTGATTTTATCACGTTCAAGGACGTTCTATTTTCGAACAAGTTGAAACAGGAAATTACGCAAGTACCTTCGAACTTCAAACAAACATTTTATTATCGTTATCATTTCTTAATTTCTGTTATTTCCACGATTTAATTAGTTATGACATTAATATTTCACCCACTAAACAATATTTCACTAAAATACGTGATTACAAAGCAACTTAAATTGGAAAAAAATTATCAAGTTCCGTGTATAAACACTAGTGTAAAGAGGCGGCAGAGCGCTATTTTAGCCAAAATCGGCTAGTAAGGCGTCATATGACACAGGTTTGTGCTGGGACAGCGCTTCCGGTGACAACACAACGCCCTTTAAATTATTGTATTTGTATAAGTATTTGTAACGCCGAACGTTTTACAGGTGGTTGCAGCAAACTAATGGAAAATCACTCGGAGTTGGGTATTTATATTTAATTTCTTGAGTCGTACTTTATTAATAATCATTATTAACTTGCAGCAAGCGCATTTGTTAGCCCACAACTGCTGCGCAACATTTTGCTGCGCATTCCCCTGAAAGTTGCACAGGAAGATCCATGGCGGTGTTGAGTGGGCAGTCAAGCGACCCACATTCCCTCAATGCCGAACAACTGTGAGCGACCAAATATAATAAGCCCACTAACAACGCCATGGATCCCTGGTTAGGTCAATAGTAGTGTCACGCTACACGAAGTACAAGCTAAGATTTTAAGCTGATTTAGGCTTATCTAGCATGTTTGTATTTTGGCTAGACCAAGGTAGGGCTAAGGGGCGCCATCAGTCGGTGACTTTTGTTGAGGTAGAAGTCTACTCATAAATTAAAAAACCCAGAATTTATTCATTTTGCAATAAATTGTACTCCAAGGCAATATAAAGACATTTACCTAAAAAAAGTTGGCGGTCACCAGCCCTTTTTTCGAGAACTTGATGGTTGTATTTTAGTGGAAAGTTGCCATTTTGGCACTATGCTTTCACCATAGGTTCCTATGGCAGAGATATTACTGTAAAATGACTAATTTTCACTGGGTTTAAATTTCACTGATTTACCATTTCAGGCATATTTAGTGGGTTTTAAATTCACGATTTCGTCATTTAGATAATGTGTTCTATGCTAAATTTTACATATTCACTGGGTTTTAATTTAGCGCATTTTCCAGTCAGCGAAATAACTCAGTGAATAATTACCCCCTTTACAGCATGCAATATATCAAAATCTAGCCTGGTACCATATCATATATTGTTAATGATGGAATTCTTTTTGTTGTTCTGAATTATTTAAAAAATCTGAGTTTTAAAAAGTGTCAAAAAATGCATTTTTCTTTATCATTGTGTTCTATGGAATTGTTCTAAAAATAGCAGAAATATTTGAACACGTTTCTCAAAAAGCATAACTGTAACACACAAAATAATGCTATTTCATTGTACCATAAGACATTAGCTTCATGATTGTACATAATAAACATTGTCATGCGATTTATGACCAATTTTGTCCAAAATTATGTTCGTTCTAATTTTGAAGCGACATTCAAAGGATTTTGTGAGGCTGATATTCGCGTTGTGTACTTGGAACGAAATGAAAAGCATTTATGAAGCCATTGACGGATTTCATTCACATTTACATGAAGACAATACATAATGTCTTACAGATGCGTGTCAATTTACTTTATGATCGGAGCAAACATTTCTGATACCTAAATGCCTAAATGTGTCCGCAGCAGTTTCTCGGAGATGACTGGGCAGATTTGGATCAAAGTTGGTATGATGATCATACATATTGGGTTGTAGGGGCACGTCATTTTTTTTTTCGTGATTCAAACAAATAGGGCTGACTGGCGGCCATTTTTTTTTCATGGTACCCATGCTGCTTTCTCTTAAATGCAATGAACGTTTCTCTTTAAATTTTGTACAAAGACAGTATACCAAGGGATACATGCACACCAACATTATTTTTGTGGTTCGATTCAATATGGCTGGCCAATGCCCAGTTTTCATGTAAGTGCTAAATCGTAATTTTGACATGTCCGGAGCTGTTTCTCAGAGATGACTAGGCCGATTTGGATCAAAGTTAGTATGGTGATCATACATATTAGGTTATAGGAGCATGTCATATTTTTTTCGTGATTGGAACAAATATGGCTGATTGGTGGCCATTTTGTTTTTCATTGTACCCATGCTACTTTCTCTTGAATGCAATGAACGTTTCTGTTTAAATTTTGTCCAAAGATAGTATACCAATAGATACATCAACATGAACATTATTTTTGTAATTTGATATGACTGCCCAATGTCCAATTCTCGTGTAAAAGCACTAAATCATATTTTTTTACAAATCCATCTCCAATTAATGGTTTCAATCTAATCTCAATGACTTCATCAGCATCAAATTGATATGTCAGATCACAAAATTTTCGACGGAGATTGCGTCATTAACAATGACTTGTTATTATTATTAGTCCCCAAAACAGGAACTTATAATTTGGTCTCTGTGCGTCCGTCTGTGTGTCCGTCCGTCCGGAGTCATATTTCAGAATCCTTTGGACCGTTTCTGTTCATTCTTTGCATGTGCCTAGTACTTTATGTGGGACATATGCACTTGCAGTGGTTTAGCGACTCGATTCAAAATGGCCGACTGGCAGCCATTGTTTTTTGAAAATGTATTTTGGACATTCTTTGTCAGTTTTCATTCAAACTTGGTACATAGATTATACATGTTAGGATACATGTCCATGACAATTTCTTTTGCAATTGGATCAAAGATGGCCGACTGGCAGGCATCTTGTTTTTTAGCTCTGCTGTCGACTTTGTCGAGCGGAGCTTATCATATGAGTGATTGTCCGTAGGTGTCCGTCGTTCGTGTCAATGTTTTACATTTTCGACTTCTTCTTGAAAACTAGAGGCCTGAATGCTTTGATACTTGGTGTATATGTACCTTGGGTAGACCTCTCTCAGATTTGTTCATTTCATGATCATATCTTCAATTCTCTAATTTTGGTGAATATTTTTGTCATTTTTGGTAAAAAGTGATATTTTCAACTTCTTGTTAGAAACCACAAGGCCAATTGCATTGATATTACATATATAGGTACTACATGTGGACCTCTCTCAGATTAGTTCACTTTGTAATGATATCTTTAATTCTCTAATTTTGGTGAATATTTTTGTCATTTTTGGTAAAAAGTGATATTTTCTTCTTGTTAAAAACCACAATCATTTATGGTCAAAAATGATATTTTTGAATTCTTGTTGAAAACAGCAAGTCCCATTGCATTGATACTATGCATATTGTTCATTTTCTAATGATATCTTCTGTTCTTTAATTGAAATGTGCATTGCTAACAGCGGAGCTATTTCAGCCGAGAGGCTGCTTGTTTTTAAATGTGTCTTGGTACATATTTTATATATGTTAGGATACATGTCCATGACAATTTATTTCAAAATCAGATCAAGGATGGCCGATTGACAGCCATTTGACTTTTTAGCCTTACTACTATATTTCCAAGATTTATGTATTTTTCATTTGTGTTTGGCACATACATCATACATGTCACTTTGTTTCATAATCAGATCAAAGATGGCCGAATAACGGCTGTTTTTATTTTTGGCTATATTACTATATCTCTGTCACCCATGTATCATTTTCATTGATATTTAGCATGTCATAAATGGATACATATACATGTCAATTCAATTTGAAATTTGATCAAATATGACCGACTGGCGGCCATCTTGTGTCTTTAAAATGTGATAACTTGGACATGCTTTCACTTGTGATCTATGTTTTTTTTGCTATGTCTTAACGGATGGGTCGTCATGCAACACGTGTTCGAATTTGATGTAAATAAACAATCTGTTGTATACACCACTTTGGACTCAAGTTTCAAGGACACGCTCACGACAACCCCCTCCACTTTAATATGACGAGCACAAAGAGAACTTTCGAACAGGGACTGTGTCATTTTCAATGACTTGTTATTATTGTTATTATTATTATTACTATTATTATTATTTTTCAGATGATGGAATTTGTAAGTGCTGGTCAACTTAATAGTTTCTTGTGCTTGACAGTCTTCACTATATTGCTGCTGTTCCTATGTTATTTTTTTTGTCATGGCAACAGCCTGACACATACTCTCCCAACACCTTCTCTATGGATACTTGCTAAATACATGCGAAAACATGGTATGCATTTTCACAAAATATGCCATGAGCTAGCAGCCGAGTACGGTCCGGTAATGTGTGTACATGTGCTGGGGATAAGTGCGGTGGTTGTTAGTGGTTACGACGCCGTTAAAGAAGCGTTGGTCAACAAAGGAGAGTTCACATCAGATCGACCTCCTGTCAGCGGCGATGGAGGGGAAGGTAAGAAAGCATCGACAATATAGCTCAAAATAATATTATTTATAGAGTTTTCATTTAAATAACCTAATAATAAACCAGTTGACAATCAACCCGACAATTAGCAGTAGCTGTCTGGTTATCTGGGGTACAAAAGTCTAGAATTTATCACTTTCACAATGATTCTTTAATGGTTTTATTGAAATAAAAATAAATTTTAAAAAGTAGCACTGCCTGTAAAATGGTCCGTTTAAAAAAATAGAAAAATGAATAAACGAAAGAAGCACTCACTTGGCGTTTTAAATGGTCCGTTTAAAAAATTAGGAAAATGAATAAACGAAAGAAGCACTCACTTGGCGTTTTAAATGGTCCGTTTAAAAAATTAGGAAAATGAATAAACGAAAGAAGCGCTCACTTGGCCGTTTCCATGTGGGCACTACAGCGAACTGTGACGTCATTCCTGAACCATGCTATGTTTGCGTTTCGGCTTTTCTGAAGCACCGTTAAAACTTAAGGAGTTCCTATTATCTGCCATGATTCTATGTACGTGACTTTACAATATTTTCAACACCGGAAATGATTAATGTTGTATTTGATGTATTGTATTGTATAAAACAATGCTGCTTGAATGTTATCTTGCGTGTTCGACAACTATTTTATCACAAGTACTAGTACTCTCAATAAAGATTGTGACTGAAAGTTCTTTTTGTGGTAATTTGTCACCTCTGTGTTTTCTATTTATTAAGCAACATCTTGATATACAACAAATAAACAAGTGAAAATAAGGAAAATACTGGTTACAAAATTATAAGAGAAACGAGAAAGCGTTGTCGTAGTTTCCACTTTCCTCAGAATACACTTTTTTAATTAACTACACAGCACACGATGGTATCACCTTTCGTCCGAGTTTGCTGTGAACCAAGTTCGTTTGGTATAGGCTCTCTAAGTGGGTTTCTTCTTTTGTCATGGAGTCTGACCAACACAGATCTCAGTTCAGCTTGATATGTACAAACGACTTCAAAATTATCGTGATTATTTATACATCCAAGTCAAATGACATAACATGACATAACACCTGTTGACGATTGGTACATGCAGATAGTTATAGTGATTAGAAGCTTGTCTGGCACCCTGTCAATGTTTCAATTTTATTTTCAATAGTATTTTATTTTGCTTGTAGTTCTGAATATATATTATAACAATGTATATGGTATATCTCTACTTGCTATTCGTAAAAATAATAATACCATAATTGTTTTTGTTTTGTGCACAGCAACACAAATTACTATACCGGTAGTACATGTGTCAAACCAGATTTTAGCACACCATAGATATGAATTGATTCATGTCACACATTGTCATGTACATGACAATTAGTTATTTCTCTAGGGGTCCATTCTTAGGTCGGCCGAATTGCATGGATGTATTTATAAGTAAACAAGAAATAATAATTATAAGGCAATGCAATTGAGTAACTGTAGATGTTCACTACTTCACATAATTATTGTTTGAAAATGACCCAAAGAAGAATAATGAATAAATGATTGTTACATACTGTCCAATTTATATTATCTAATAAAATACTGCACTCCAGTACAGTTGGCAATTCTATACGAACACCATTCTCTGCCTTTCAGACTACCCACTTCAACACTGGTATCTGATTCATCACCAGAACCGTGACTTACATTATCTGTTTAAACAATTCTCTGCGATTGCCTGCACAGTATGTTGGCTCAAACCGGCATGGTTTTATACCAGTTAATACCATACATGTCAAATTCAGTTTTATTTTCATTTTCATATTTGCTAACACTGGATTTTCCCATTGAAACAAGCGCTTTGTGGAAAGCAGATACTCTCCCGGGATACTGTCAGTGTATACGTGTGATAAGGCACTTGTTCAGAAATGACGTCACAGTTTAGCTCTCTACGACCAGTTCACTATTGAGAACAGTGGTTTGCCACCAACTTAATAACCCATTTTCAAACCCATGTTATAAAGCAGTAAAAAATACATATGTCCTATTTTTTGAATTATATTTTATTCAGAGGCATCAGAGAGCATAAACATAACACATAATCCTCGAGTTTGTCCCCCTGAGTATTGTTTGTTGATTTATTTATTAATTAATTAATTAACTTGTTTGCTGTTTGTTTGTTAGTTAGTTGCTTATTATAGTGATTATACATGACATTTTTCAATCTCTTTAAACAGGTTATATTTTCGCTAAATATGGAGAAATGTGGCGACGGCGGAGGAGATTTGCTCTCACTGCTCTGCGACATTTTGGGGTCGGTAGAAGAGTCATTGAGACCCGCATCAATGAAGAGGCATATCACTTGATAACGGTGATCAGAGAGTATGACAATGACAAACCATTGGATTTGCGTCCATTTGTTAACAATGCAGTGTCAAACGTCATATGTTCACTTTGCTTCGGACAGCGTTTTGAGTACGATGATCCAAAATTCCATAAACTTCTTGACTGCATCAATAATTTATTCAGTGCAGGAATTTCCTCTTGGGTACGATTGAAATTTCCTTTTCTCCGTAAGGTGCCTTTCCTCTTCACTGGATTGAAGGAAGACGAGAAGAAACTCAATAAATTTATGAGCGAAATTCGCTTAGAACACGCATCAACGCTTGATCCTAATGACCCCAGAGATATAATTGACACACTCTTAATAAAAGAAAGGAGCGCAGAACAGATTGATGGGAAAGATGTCTTTTCTTCTGTGTTTTCTAAACGTGGTATTATTGAGTTATTCAACGCTGGTACGGACACCACAACAAACACAATAATGTGGATTATATTAAATTTGGTGAAATTTCCTGACCTTCAATTAAAGGTATGTATAACTATGCTGGTGAATAATGACCTTATAAAATTAATGTTGATATGATATTATGGCTTATTGATGTGATAATAATACGTATGTGATCAGCTAATTTCGAATGAACATCTGATACCGGTAGTATTACAGAATCAGTCAGCACCGATTAGAAAAGTGACATCGACTGTTATCGCAAGAAAAATCTATCTGCAAAATAACAAGAGAGCTGAAACGATTACTATGTTTTTGTATCCACTGAAAATTGTTAGAGTTTTAGTGTTTATAGAGTTCCACAACTCAAGTATTCTTATCGAATACATAATTTTACCTACAGTATACAATATACATACTATATCGAAGGCACATTAAGCAAATCTTGTGAAACAAACAAAATCCGAAATTTTCGAGAGACAGATCAAGCATGTGAAGTGGTTATACTAAGTCATTTACGCTAATTGGTAATCGTGCATTGAGCATACAATGTACATGCATTACATCACGGTTACTAAAAATAGTAACCGTGATTACATCTATAAATATTACGTCATTTTCAACATTGCTTAATCTGATATGATCAATTGTAGCACGTGATTTCTTTTAAACACTATAATTCGTTTTTCAGATACAACAAGAGATTGACCAGCACATTGGTCAAGGAAGGACGCCGTTAATGGCCGACAAACCTAATCTTGCTTTCACAAATGCATTCATCGCAGAGACACAGCGTGTTTTCCCCGTCGCCCCTCTAGCTGTACCGCACCAAATCTCTGATGATGTTCGACTGCAAGGGTATATTATACCCAAAGGGACAATGATGCTTGCAAATCTCTGGTCTGCACAAAATGACACAAAATACTGGAAAGATCCCGAACAATTTGACCCATCAAGGTTCTTAAATCCTGAAAAAATGTTTGAGAGAGGGGACAGCTGGATGCCATTTTCTTTAGGTGAGTATGCCAAATAAATATGAAAATAATATATTCATTCATTCATTATCTTTGACTTTTTAGTCTCTGTTCGGAAGAAGTCTGAAAACGGGGTCTATTAATTTCCGTTCCGTTCATCCGTGTTTCTGTTTGGAGCCATTTCTCGGACACCCTTTGACTGGTCTCGTTTAAACTTAGTATACAGACAATGTATGATGATCTACATATGCACACCGATTTTCGTTATGATTTGATTAAATATTTTGTCCCTCAAATTTGATCATGCATATTTGGTTATAGTTGCATGTCACTTTTTTTTCAAGATTCGGTCCAAGATGGTCGTCTGGCGGCCATTTTTTTTCTTCCGTTTTCGTGCTGATTCCTCCATAAGATATGGTCTGATTCAGTTCAAAGTTTGTACTTAAGTACTATACTTCAAGATAACACAACATCATGTTTTGTTTGAGATTTGATCAAATTTTTCGAAATGGCGGCCATTTTGTTTAATATCTTAAAATCAGTCTGTAACTTGTCCGGAACTGTTTCTCGGAGCGGAACAGGGTGATTTCAATCAAACTTTGTATGGTGATCATGTATATACATGTGCACGTCATATTTATTTCAAAATTTGGACCAAAATGGCCAACAGGCGGCCATTTTTTTCTTTTCTTTTTTGTGCCGTTCTTCTGAAAGATATGGCCTGATTCACTTGAAAGTCTGTACATAGGTAGTATACTGCAATGTAACACAACAACATGTTTTGTTTTTCTCTTGATCAAATTTGTCGAAATATCATTCTGTAACATGTCCGGAACTGTTTCTTGGAGC